TCATGGTGGGAAATTCATGGAGTCATGACCACTATGACCAGAGAACAGATTTAGAGAGCATCGTCCTTCTCTGATACCATGTTTTCAGCAAGAAGAAGAAGAAGAGACGAAAAATATGAGAGACAAAAAAAAATCTATTCTGGTGGCGCCAGCTTTTTTATTTAAATAGTAGGGCGACCAAAACATAATGAAAAGAAAGGGAAAAGACAAGAATGCCCCTCTGCGGCATATAGTACGGATTACATCAAAGATTATAGATAATTACTAGTGAAAGATTATTGCTGGTTGCTATGGAACCTAGGAAATTACCCTAATATTCATGGTTTTTATTTAAAAAATATCCACCGCCTAGGCAACTAGGAGACAAGGTGCTCCCCTGTTGCTTAGCCTCACCTTGGTGCTTTGAAACTATGTTCCTGAGGGAGCATACACTAGTTGATGACTAGGGTTCATTGCTTGGTGCAATGGTACAATCTGGGGATGATGGTTTAGAATGTGGATTCAAGCCTTAGACTACTCATTATGTGCAAGAAAATGCAGAAGGTTAGGTCTTTATCCAGATCACTCCTCTCAAGACCCTAAGTAGCTGGCATTAACATTGGATAATGGTCCTTCCTTAAAGTCTATATAAATGGTATCTCTATGAAAGACTTTCAATTGGATGATGTTGATGAAGTTTGAGAGTACTATCTAGGTTTTCTGGTAAAAGGTCTAGGAAATGTTGCTCTGATTCCATTGATTATGCCGCTGTTGTCTGGTAAGATTGCGGCTACATAGAGGAGCTATTTGTCTTTGATCAGTCAAGGTTATCCTGCATGGTTGTTGGCTTTTCTACCATCAATAATTGTTGTCAAGTTCAATGATTTACTCATCCAATTTGCAATGCTTTTAAGTCTAGTACTGGAAATGTAATGTATATTTATATCAACCATTAGATCCTCTTATTTGCAAATCTGCATGATGTTTGACATTCTGCTGTGTTTAAATAGTTAGTCACATCAGTGTTCTGCATAAATGGGTAAAACACATGCTTGTTATGCTCATCTATGTGAAAAAGAAAAGCCAATACAGCCAATACAAAGGCATTCCAGAATTTCATACAAGGGGCTAGAGAGCTTCTCCCTTAGACACGTGGCATCTTGTTTTCTCAAGAAAGAGCATCTCAAAAGTGGTTCCTCCCACTTTCAAACAAGCTCCCTTCCTCAGACATGTTTCTACCCACTCAAAAAAAAAAAAATGTGCGCTTCAAACGGCAGTTACCTCTATTCTCAAAAATGTTAGTGGTAGTTACCTCCACTAAAATGAAAAGAAAAACAAAAACTCAATTTCGAATAATGTAGGATCCATAAGGTGGGTTGTTATTTAGAAATAAAACTTGATTTAATCTCTTATTAAATAACAAATTTATATATAAAAATATCAGATAAAATAATAACCTAAATTTTCAACATAAAAAATGGGTGTCAAAAAATTTATCAGAACACATGAATAAAAAAATACCAGAATAATGAGCCTGTACTTGTTATGGAGGATCATTCTCTAGTACTGTAACAATTTAAACATCTAATCAGCACATGCTTCTCTACCAAATGGAAAAAAACATTGTCTAATTGAGAGGTTGTCGCATTATTGGGTTATGATCAAATGTAAGGGCAGATAAACACCACTATCCTTCCAATCAAATAAATAAATAAACACCACTATCCTAAATAATTCTTATATAAGTTCAAACCTTTTGAACTCTATATTTTAATTCCTCCGATCATTAGCAATAATAATTGGCAGTGGATATAGTTCTAAATAGAACGGATTGGTGAAATAGGATTCTTGTAGCTGGTTATAATTGGGATAAGGCATGGATGACGATGATGATGATGATGATAATTTTTGTTGCTATCCTTCTGAAAATGAAGCACCATTATAAGTTTGGATTAATATACTGTGGCTGTTGTTGGATTTCCCTCTTCTTCCCACCTTGCCCCATCCACAGTTCTCTTTCAGAGTTTGCTGTCCTTGGATTCGAGATGGGTTATTCAATGGAAAATCCAAATTCCTTGGTACTCTGGGAAGCTCAATTTGGTGATTTTGCAAATGGTGCTCAAGTGATATTTGATCAGTTCTTGAGCAGTGGGGAATCAAAGTGGCTACGTCAAGCTGGACTTGTTGTGCTGCTTCCTCATGGGTATGATGGTCAGGGCCCTGAACATTCAAGTGCGCGATTGGAGCGGTTCCTTCAGGTATTGTCCAAACATCTGATTTTCATTTTTCCTTATGGTGGTATTCCTTGGTGTTTTCTAACCTGCAACAGAGATTAGAGCAAAGAGAAAAATGAAAGAAGAAGAAGAAGAAGAGAGAGAGAATGGATGGGCAAAATAGTGTTTCCATCCAACCCTAAAGTATCATTTATATTAAGATGATAATGATACATGAAAGTACAACTAAACTCCTGATTAGTGAGGACACTTAACAAGTAATTAAAATGACTACTAAGTTAGGCCCAAAACACAAACAAACTAATAACATAAAGAGAAGAAGAGACCCACACCATTAATCACCCATTACAGCACTCCCCCTCAAGCTGCATAGATGTCCATCATGCCCAGCTTGCCAAGCAATCTATGGAATTTCACTGAAGGTAGACCTTTATTTAGAACATCATCTAGCTGCATCTCTGAGGGCGTGTAGGGAATACAAACTTCACCTGAGATGATTCTCCCTCTCACAAAAAGCCTGTCAACCTCAATATGTTTGGTTCTGTCAATGCTGTACCAGATTATTAGCTATATTAATTGCAACCTAATTGTCACAGTACAGCTTTTTTTATGAACAAAAATTATCCTTTAAACCATTGACAGGGGAAAAGATTATATAATCCAACTCAGCGATATTTTCCATGCAAGTTTTTTTCTAGACAGGACAGACCACATACCATGATAGCATGATCCTAGACACAATGGTACCGAGAGAAACTTGCTTTCTTGTCCAATGAAAATTTAAATTAGACCTGCTCCCCAAGGCCCAAATATAGCATTCTTTTCATAACTGATTTCCTTCTAGAGGAAAATGGGATCAACAAATCCTTGGAAAATAGCTAGGCAGTTTGGTAATCCAGAACAATCATGCAACACCATGTGCCATGGCCCTATACTCAGCTTTAGAACTTGATCTTGCAACCACACTATACTTCTTACTCCTCTAGGTAACCTGGCGCAAGATTTTGCTTGGCCCAAGTTTCCAGGCCCTGGCCCAGCCTGAAGCCAGAAAACTTGAACCCATGCCCAACTGCCCAAGAAAAGATTGAGTAGGAGTGGCCCAGAGTTGGTTTAAGCCAGCTCAAGTTGCAGCTCTACTTTTAGAGCAGCTACCATTCCAAGCCTCAATTAAATAAGATACACTGTATGACCCCTGTTGTTGAGCACAAGCATCACTCTATATTTATCATCTATCCTTATTCTTTCGCCTGGACAAGGTCAAACTCTTAGGATTTGCTTGGTGCCGCCCTTCAATAATTTGCTCCCATAAGTTGCATGACCATTTTCATTCCTTTATCTTTAAGCATTAAATTGAACCCTATTTGTCTTGCTGCTCACTTATACACCAAATGCAGATGAGCGATGATAATCCCTATGTTATACCTGAGATGGATCAAACTCTTAGGAGGCAGATCCAAGAATGCAATTGGCAGGTTGTCAATGTTACAACCCCTGCTAATTATTTCCATGTTTTACGGCGTCAGGTATGTGCTACTAATCCACCCTAAACCTCCTTATGTTCAAGATGAATTTCTTCTATTTGCTTATGGCATACAGTTTCATCTCCCAGATACACAGGGATTTTCGGAAGCCACTAATTGTAATGTCTCCTAAAAACCTGCTACGCCACAAGGATTGTAAATCAAATCTATCTGAGTTTGATGACGTCGAAGGTCACCCAGGTTTTGACAAGCAAGGGACCTGTTTCAAACGCCTTATAAAGGATCACAATTTTCGCTCTGATCTTGAGGAAGGCATCAGACGCCTGGTTCTCTGCTCTGGAAAAGTATTTATTTGACAGATGTTTTCTTGTTGTTTTCCTATTTGTATCGACGATAAATCTAAGATACACCTTTGGGAAATTGGTTTGATGTACACTTGTAATGTATTTTATGTAGGTATATTATGAGCTTGACGAGGAGCGAAAGAAAGTTAACGGCAATGATGTTGCAATATGCAGGATAGAACAACTTTGCCCTTTCCCTTATGATCTTATCCAACGAGAGCTGAGGAGATATCCAAGTAAGCTCATCTAACTTGAGAAAAGGGAGCAGGTATCACTAGAACTGTGTATATCAGAAGGAAGAAATGTAGGTACTAGGTAGTGTATTTTAGCAACACTGCTAGAATTAAGATATTAAAGCAGCCATAACTATTAAAAAATGAAAGCTACAGCAAGTTTTGTGATTACCATGAAACTTCATTTGAATGTAGAAAAGAAATTGTTGATCATAAGTAATTATTCTATCTTCTGTTTTGAGTAAATTATACTTCAAAATTAAGACTTGTCCCTCCGGTATCAGGTTTAGTCTCCCTTCAATCTGTATCCATATGCTGCTGTGTTACTTGCTAAATCCTGTTTCGTTTTTTTCCTTTTCTTTTCTTTTCTTATTTTGGTGATAATTATGGTATGTCATTCTGGTTATGTTTTTAAGTGTTTAGAGCTGGGTTTGGTTTTGACATTTTTTGAATATGTTACAGTACGGATCCTGGTGCTGACTTATTATGTATTTCTATGTTTTGTTTGTGGTTTTTATATTTCAGATGCAGAGGTTGTATGGTGTCAGGAAGAGCCCATGAATATGGGTGCGTACAATTACATAGCACCTCGCCTTTGTACCGCCATGAGGACACTGGGGAGAGGTGGTATGGAGGACATCAAGTATGTTGGTCGTGCTCCATCTGCAGCCACAGCTACTGGTTTCTACCAAGTTCATGTCAAAGAACAGACTGAACTTGTACAAAAAGCAATGCAGCCTGAGCCAATCAAATATCCATACTGAAGAGAACTTTCAAAAGTTTCTGCAAGGCAACAAAAAAGAAAATAATGAGATTCATGGAAGGACTATCTGAGAAACTTTGATCCCAATATAAACTCCATGTGTGCGATATCTGAGAAACATTTTTTTCTTCTTCTTTGTCACTTTTCTGGTTTCCAATATCGTGGCACTATCAGTGGATTTTGGATAGTTACGAGATTTGCACAAGATGATTTGTGCATTTTGAATTTTTCAGTTTTCCTCAGCTGCGGAAAATGAGGTGTTCATGTGCACATATTGACTCGTATCTGCTCTTTCATTGTATCTTTTAGGTGGACCGAGGTCATAAATTATGATGTCACCACCAGTTACTTCACTTTACACGCATTACTGAACATGGTCACCGACTGCAGTCACTATTTGTTTGTAATATGTCTTCTTTCTTGTAGTTTGTTCCTTCTTGGTTCCGAAGAGGATAGCCCCGCCCATTCATTGCTGGAATGTTTCAAATTGAACAATTAGCATATTGGAATCTAAGCCATGGCATCTCACCTGTTGATCTACACGAGACCGAGGTACGTGAATTGCAATTACCCTATATGTTTTCTAGTTTCTACGGCTTCTGCATTGTTTTGGCCTTTTGAACTTTGGACTACTGTGAGCCGGTGAAGATGGTTTCTGGGTTGTTTACATAATTCCTTTTATGGGGGTTATTCCCAATCCCATCCCATGGCATTAGCTGTCAAACGTTTCCATTGCTTTCAATTCAATATGCCCATAAAGGTCTGGATTCACACATGGCAAGGGTTCATAGGCTGAAACTCTCCTCATGAGTATATAGCGTGGAGAGAGGAACCATGAGGTAAGTGTGTACTTTCAAATGTGATGAGTGAAAAATTCACCCCCAAGTTCCAAGTCCCAGCCCACTTGAACCAGATCTCCTCCAGCTTGGGGATTCACAATTTCACACGTCAAAAGACTCGAAACGTAGGGCATGTTTGGAATCATGGCCGTTTTTTTTAAAACTGGTGCGGATCCACAGGCATTTCAACAAACACCCATATATTTCATTGTTTTGGTTCAGGCGTTAATTGAAAAATTGAACATGCCTTGTAAACCGGAAACCCATCGATGCATGAAATGTCAAATTCGGTGTTTCATGTATCGGTGAACCGTTTCCCCCAATGGTTGACTGGTTGGCGATTACGTGTATCCTATGTGATGCTTACCTGTCAATACATACATGAAAAACAGTGATGAAAATCACCTTACCTAACAGCACAGTTTTACTCACTGCCTACTTAGCAAAAACACTCCCAAACAAAATTAAAGCGTTTTATTGTAAAAAACGAATCTTAGAAGCATGAACGTTTTTTCTTGAAAATCAGTCTCAATCAACACCCACGCTTCCAAACACCACCCTAATTAAATTAGCACGTCAATCAGAACCCACTAAGGTAAGACTCAAACCAAATCAAACCTTGCAATTTATAAAAGTACCCTCAAGTCTGAACTCTGAAATCTGAACCCACCTGACCTTTTTGCAGAGCTCTCAGTCAGATTCACATATCCCAGACTAATTAATTAACAGGTAAGAGGCAAGTGAGACCCAGCCCGAGCCTCGCACCTTCCCAAAGAATCAATAAAGTTGAGAGTGAGCCTTTAGGAGCACTTTTATTCTGGCTAGAATTTCAATTCGAAGTGCAAAGTTCAAACCCCTTTAATTTACTGAAATGGATCAGGCTGAGTCATACTTCTGGTATCGAAGGTACTCGCAGACAGAGCTCGTCCAGACTCCAGACATGGGATGAAGGTATTCCGGTTCTGTCATGGATACACTCCCCAAGATGGTCATAAAGAAGGTGCTAAAGGGGTTTCTTTGCTTTGACCTCATAAGTTATAACCATCCCGCTAGTAGCCTAGTACTCAAAACTCAAAAGTCTCTTTTAACTCTCAGAGGTCAGAGCCAAATACTTTAAGCCCTGCTGTACTGGTTATCTTGATATCTTCTCTTCCCATGAATACCAGAAATCAAACTATTTCAAGAGCCAAACTCTCTCTCGTAAAGTGTTAACCAAACCGTCTGCCATCTCTCCCAAGATACCAGCCACCACTACAACTTCTGCATTCATGGTGGTGACTGTTTCAGCAATAGGGGTTCCATGCAATAGCCAACTTCTCTTGACATGCAATAACAAGGAGAACCAGAAAGCTAAAAAAAAAAAGCACTTTCTCTCAATTCTCAAAGAAGAAATTATGATAGAGAAAACCTTAACCATAGGCCATAGCTTCAAAATTCAAACATCAAATCAAAGCCCAATTTCAATTCTAGATGGCATTTGCAGAATAAAAAGAAAACGTTAAGAGCAGCCTGCCAGCCCAGTAGAAAATTGTAAAAAAGGCAGCAGTATCAATCGAGCAATAAAAGCAGATCCAATTCTGAACAGAGCCAGCTCTATTTCAAGGTGGAATATCCCAAAAGCAACATCTCTATTTTCATGTAGCCAATTCAGTTTGTCAACAATCTTTTAGGAAGAAGAAAATTCATATGCCATTTACAAAATGACAAGAAGACCGGAGGATGAAATATTCCCTGAACCTGAACTTCACAAACAGTCGCCAAGACAAACATGCACAAACCTATGAATGTGGTGCCTTACTGAACCGGACCCGGAATTGGTCCGGATTGGAAATGGGTATGACCATAATGAGTGGTTGGGTCAATGGAGCTGGTTTTTAGGGTTATATTTTGGGGCGGGTAGAGGGTCTCGGGAAGAGGGGAAGGTGGGACAGGAGAAGGGTGAGTGGCAGTCACTGGTCAGTGGTGCACAACGAGGAATTGAATGTGATGCGCCACCCGAAAGTCAAGATTGTAGGAATGGGCGAAGGGCGAATAGGGGGCCCACTGATGAAGGAACTCTAATTGGCACGAACAGAACAGAACAGAACAGAACAGGCAGCCAGAACCCAGAATCTGATCAGAAGTGTGTGGATCTTGATTGATCAATCCCAAGGTCTCTCTCTCATATCCAAGTGGGGGTGACGAATGAATTGACTTGTGGGTCCCCGCCAAGCGTCCTATCAGGGGATGTCGTTTCGTTTCCATTGGGTCTGGATATGAGTGAGAGGAATGGGAGGTGGAGATCCGATATCCGCCGTTGGTTGGGCATACCGCCCAACATGACTTTTGTCCACAAACCATCTGTCTTGCTAACAGCTGGCTAGCAATCCATCGCCGGGGCCCGGGGGGCTCTACCATGGTTGTATTTGTTTGTCTTGTCGCGAAGGCGAAGGTTTGAGCAGAAAAGTAATATTCTATTGAGTTCCATTTGCTTGCTCACTTCCCTAGTTGCGACTTGCGAGTTTCCAAGAGTGAAAACTGAAAACTTGCTGCTTATTTTGATGCAAATAAGGTAGAAATGAAAACCCTTTTTCTTGAAATTATTACTTATTTTCCAGAGAATGAGTGCAAAATGTCACATTACAACGTTTTACAGATACAAAAAAGAGCGTTTTACAGATAAGCTGTTTTGCTTTGAGATTTGAGATAGCATCATTGGACTTGGACCCCCCAACCCCACCCAGAGCTGATTCTGTCAATAATCATTTTTTTACTTGAGTTGAATGCTTTTTAACCTAACCCATTATCATCCATTGCCTTCCCTTAGTGCGAGATGGAAAGCTTTACGCCTTCAGAGCTTATCATTTGAAATCTGAATCCTATGAACTGATAATGAAAATATCAATGTTCTAGCCTTCTAGGGTTATGACTAAAAATCCTCCACCAGCACCACAAAGGATGTGTATTAACTCCTGGATTACACGCTAGTTTCGGGTCATTCATATACAACTGGAATCAAATAGTTTACCAAAATTCAAATTATCTGAATTTGTCTATTTTCCTTTTCCCCCAAAAAGTTCAAGTTCGAATTTTAAGCAACCCTCCCCAGATGAAGAACACAAATTGCTTGAAATTTTACATAAATTCAAAATTTTGGATCCATTCGGACTGTAGTTGCTTACCACAAGTCCATAACACTTCTGTTTGTCATGTTAAGTATGATAATGAAAGTGGTATGGCAATGCTTCACTAATTTCTAAAAGAACGAGCCGCATTTGGTTGCAAATCTAAGAACATCCTCATTTTTTTATCAATGAAAATCCTCATTTCATCGTTTCTGAGTTCGAAACACAAGTGATTTTTAGGACTCAAAATAAAATAACGTGTCAAAGTGGGAGTTCTTAAATTAGGGTTTTCAGAATCAGACTCCATGGGCAAACAAAAACAAGATGCTCCAAATTCACCAACCATCTTGTTCACTGACCCCCCCCCCATTTCTGAAAATTGCTTCCCTTCTTTTTTGACCTCCCATGTCATCCTGGGACAATCATCTCATGAACAGAAAATGCTAATGACATTAATGTCCTGATGTCCAATAGGCCAATGAAATAAATTAATGGAAAATACACTTGTCCAAATCAATTTTGTCATTCACTGGTGCAGAAACCTATCAACTATCACCATTGCAGTTAAGAAGATTCCTATTGCCCAAAGATATGGCCTTTCAGTAGTTTGATGTGGACTGGTTGCCTAACCTTTGGCATATTTACACCCAAACTCAAACCCCTGTTCTCTTACTTGTCAGCCCAAGGTTTCACCATTGCACCAAGGTCATAAACATTTTTCAGAAACAAGAAGTGAGGAAGGGTCAGTGAACTTTTCCTAAAACAGAGGAGCGTCGGTGTAACTTACCCTTTTACTTATTAATTACAAGTGTGTACTATTTATAGTATTTAAGCAAATTGAACATAGAAGAATTAAATAAAACTTTGACCATTGACCTAGAAATTCTCCATAAAAACACACTTGGTGCTGGGTTAGAAGTTAGAACTCCCTCATGTGCCCTATATATGCTCATTCATAGTTGCCACATTTACTAGGATCAATAAATTTCATATTTAAAAAAAGCAAACACCAAACAAAGGAGGTCGTGGCATTGGCAGCAATCAAATAGAAAAATACAAGGACAGGCCATGTGAATGAAAACACATCTCTGGGATACATAAAGAGGGATGCAATAATTTAAAATGAGATCCTAGCAAAATGCTATAATGGGTTGATGTAGAACTCCATTTTATATTTAGACATCATAGTATTCTTATATTATTTTAGGGGTTTTCTGCCACATCAAGCCTCATATTGCCAATCCAGATAAGGCATCTGGTATTGGGGACCTTCTGATTAGCCTCGGCACCGCTCACCTTTTTGCAATCTGGCATTGACACAAGGGCCCTTGATGTAAACATGTTTAAGAGATGCTCCAAATCTCATAAAGTAATTATAAGGTTTTTCTTTTGAAAGCTACATCTTATATTTAGGTAGGAAACACCAAACCAAATAATGTATATGTGGCCAATGAAACACAGCAATGCATGTTTGCCACCCAATCCTCACTTTCAAAACCAAATCACTTCACTTGTTCATGCTCGAAAGAATGTTTTACAGGTATTCACGATAAGTTCAACCAAATAACATAAAAGTTAAACAAAACTATCATCATATTGACCCAATAGTCTTAAAAGCATAAAATAACTAAGTACTCGTAGCCTCTTTTCATGCATATAGTTTTTAATCAACTGATCATCTAATGCAATCTATCCTCCCTAAACCGAGTTTTCAACCTGAACTTCTCAGTCTAAAGAAAGAGGTTAGTTATCATATATTTGTGTCACATATAGGTATGCTTCTTGCTTCATCAATGAATTATACGCAGTATATGTTAGAAGAGAGATGGAGAAAGAACACTGATGCTAGAAAGCAAGTGGTTTTGAAAGAAAGTAGTATTATTTTGATGGGGAAAAACTGGAAAAGAGACAAACAGCCACATGGCTACGAGAAAAAAGCCAAAACCCTTCTCTCCTTTCCAATTCCCCATCCTCTTCATTCCACCCAAAAAGACAAACGTTCATTCTTGCTTTCACACTCTAAATGCTTCCTTCCGAACAAATTCGTCATTAAAACTTTACAACAAAAAACCCTTCTCTTTAATTATCGTTCTCCTCTTCCTTTCACCACCAAATCTTCCACCACAGAATCTGATTTCTTTTCCCAAAAAAAAAAACATAAATAGAAGGGTACCCACCTCAAAAATTCGCCATCTTCAGAATCTATTCCATCTTAATAATCTGCAAACATCGAATATCAAACACCATCCATAATATCAGAAACTTACAGATAATCAGCACCAGCAGCGATAATAACAACAAAGAAAAATACAGAATGAAAAGGGAGAAAGGAAGTGACCCGTCTAAGACTTCTTTCATTTTCCATACTAACCATCATGTTTCTTCATCAAAGATCTAATGAACATCAAACAAATAATAACAAATCCCACTGCTGCTGCTGCTCCCACAACAATTGCTATCGTCTTCCCTGGATTCTGCCCCGACCCTGACCCTGATCCTCCTGAATCAATCAAACACATCCAAGCACAAAGTTTCCATAACCTGATACTTATGAAAGCAGAAACGAATAGAAAATGGAAAATAGAAGAAGTAACTGAACCGAACTCAGAGAAGGACTATATTCAGAGACAGAACCGCTGTGTCTTTCTACTTTACCTGAAGATGATTTACTTGGGACCCCATTTGGGTAGTAACTGTAGCTAATATAGCATTTATGAAGATACATTTGGCCAGAGATCGAGCTTCCACACTCAACCTGGGCTTTCTGAACTGCACTTTTCACACACTCTGAACAATCTGCAGTGCCTAAATCCCCTTCACACTGAGCCAACACATAAACCGAATAATAGCTCGTCGTATAAAACCCACTAGTGCTCGCTATGCCATTCTCCAGGTTTTGAAGTGCGGCGTCTCTCCGCTCTTCGAAACCACTCCCTCTTGCTTCTGATGCACTACACATCTTGTAAAGCATATCATAGCCAGATCTCTGAGGAAACCCGGAAATCTCATAAAGAATGTAGCAACCGGTGAGCTGAACTCGAGCGGAAACGGCATTACCACACATGCTGCTCATCATTTGTGGGAGTTTGCTCACGCAGTTGAAACAGTCGGCATTACTGAGATCTCCCCTGCATTGAAATAGACCATTGAAGGCGGCCTGGCCTCCACCTGAGCTGCCTTTGTAGAATTTGGCCTTGGAGGACTGAGAAGCGAGAGTACCAAAAAGCGCACTGAGGGCTTGGGAGTAAACCCCAGATGGGTCTGAGAATGATTGGTTGGCGCAACCCTTGTAGACTAAGCTGGTATAATCTGAAGCAGCTTCGGCGGATGGAAGGAACCCAAAGCAGCCGAAGAGAATCAGGGTTAGAGAAAGAAGGCACAAGGATTGTCCGGATAAGAAACCCATCTGAAGGGGAATTTTGCTTCAAAAAATTACTGATATTTTTGAAGACTTTTATTGGCTGTGAGAGATGGGTTTTGTTAGAGATGAAGAAAGATTGATGGGCGTGATTTGATTTCTTTTTTATTTTTCCCCGTAGGAAAAGGAGGGATGGAAGCTGTTCTTCTTTGTGAGGGTTTTGCTTTGTAGTATGTGGGGTTTGTTCTTTCTCTTTGGATGCTTCAGCTCTCCGGTGTCTGAACTTCCCTTGGAGATGCAGAGATATCTTTATTTTCTACATAAAGGTGTAAAATTACAAATGAGTAATAAATAATGGAAACTGTAAATATTATTCTATTATATAATTATGGAGAATAAGAACAGAGAACAATGGCGAGGTGTTTTTAAAATTAATAATAATTACTGATAAAAAAATGCATACCGTGTATCAGAAAAAATAATAAAAAAACAGAGGCAATATTCTCTAAGCAAGGAAGTCGTGACTGTGTGAACAATAGTGTAAAGAAGACAAATAGAAAAAAGAAAATGATTTTGTGTGACAGAAGTTGGAAGAGGTGTTTGAAACTTTGAATTTGACCAAAGCCAAAAGGCTGTTACTAGTTATGTCTGAATTTGATTTTCTTTTTTTTAAAGGGTTTCACTTTCACATTTACATCATTTTTGTTCTTTGATATTTATATATTCACTTAATCACTTGTTTTGAGGTGGAATATGAATATATTTGGGTGAATCTTGTTGGGGATTCCTAAGTTTAATTACTTTATTGAACATTTTGTGCGGAGAGGAATTGCATATTAGTCTTATTTCTGTAAAAATCTTAAATGCTTTAACCTGTATTTGTTAATAATACGGAAATAGAAAGAAGATCCATTTTTAGCAAGCTATATTTGTTGGGATTATTGTCATACAGTTATTTGCAATGAATAATGCACATTTAGAAGGAAAATAAATAGGGTCATCTTGTGTTTGAAACCGTGCTTATCTTGTGAATGGATCGTTTWGGTCTACATTAGAGATGATTATAGCATTCGGCTTGTTATGGATGGGATTGCTTCACATTATATCGTGGATTGGCCCCTTCATATCTCAATCTATATTGTTACGGATGTTCCTTCTTTCATAAAATAATAATTTTATTAAATTTTCAATGTTTTATTAATAAAATAATAATAATTTTCACACTTTAATATTATTTTTTTAATTTTTTTATCATTGAAATAATATTTGTACACTTAAATATCAATGATTTATTTTATCATATAAAGTGTAAAAATTGAACATTTACGATTGATTGTGTAGATCAATTTATAAATTGTATATGAGATACATGAAAACAAAAAGTGTGGACTGAATCAATTCACACCATCTATCCACAATTTAGAACAATTATTGGGTTGTACTTTGGTATGGGTGCCTTTTACAATAGTGTGGTATGGACCAATCCACAACTACACACCCACCAATATCTACCTTACAAAACAACCCCTAAAATGACTTCTTCCTACAGTCATATTTTTATAACTTTGTTTGTAAAAAGAAAATTGATAAAATTTTGTGGGTCCTTCAATTAAAGGTTTATTTGGTAGTGTGGTTCATTTGAAAATACAATAGTTTAGTTCATTTCGATCCATGTCACTCGTAAAAAAAAAATGCTCTTTAAGGTGTAGCTCAGTTCAATCTTTGTTTTTTTTAATTTTTATGCCTAAAGGCAAGTTCATTCATTGCATAGGTAAGTAGAAAAATTAATAGCAATGAAAAATACAACAAAAAACGCATGTTAATCTTGCTAAGACAAAAACAAGTAACCACAAGCACAAGGAGAAAAAACGACTTGAAAAATCTCTACAATTGACACAAATTTAAGTAATTCCCAAAAAGTCGGTCAAATGCCTCCAATAGAGATGAAGCCACCAAGTGTATCTCTCTACCAAATGAGTCTGAATCAACTATGCAAAACCCTCAAGGGGTATAGAGAAAACAGGTACCATGGTACCCAATCCATGGCATAATTGAAAACGTGAAAGCAGGAGAGGCCCAAGATTGCTTCCTGCTACAAAACTCTCCCTAACGCTCCACCATCCAAACATTCAAGGAATGGGCCTTATAGAAAGCCAAAAGTGCACAAAAGAAGTTGTAACTTGTAACTTTAGGGACGTAAAATGTGCAAAAAAAAACCACCCATCCATGTCATTATAGAAGTTGAAACATTTGAAACTTGAACGTTGCCGAAGAGAACTCGAAATTCGCCGGAAAAGGCTTGCAAGGAATGATAACATCGTTATAAAACAAATGGATACCCATGGCAAACCCCAAAGGCACACAACACACAAATTCGACCAAGGCCCCACGGAAATAATAAAAAGAACAGAGGAAAAACGAAGATTAGAATGAATAGAACTAAAGATCCCAAGTCTGCTCCATAGGCCTGTATCAAGACAGTCATCTCTCAAATATGTCCAAAGAACCTCTCCAACAAACACGATATAAAGAGAAATAAATGAAAAATCACATCCATAGATGTGAGAGAGAAACCCTATTGCTATCTCATTTCAGTCTACATTATAGTGTGTATTGAATTATGTCATTTGTACAACTTATTGTTCATGCTTAAATCTCGTAGACCAATTAACGTTAGATTAGATGCAATTATTTGTATAAAGTAGTGCAATAAATTCCCAAAATGCTTTATAGAAAATTTTGTTTGACAAAAATATTCGTACTATTCACAAAACACCGTAAAACATCTTCATCGAGTGTAGTGTGGTTTCTAGAGTGTAGTTTCAACCACTCCAGAGTGGGGTCTAATAGACTGAGGGGCTATTTGGTAAGTCTTTTTAGGAAGATCTTCCATTAGTTCTAATAGTTAAAAGACGCATTGAGCTTTTACATTAAGATCTGAGCAGCCTGAAACCCATTTGGTAACGTGTGTCTTTCTACACGTCTTTCTACTCGAAAATGAATAAAAAAAATGCAAAGGCTCCATCCCAAAAATTGCATGATTTGGGCTCCTCGTGTCTTTTCGATGCATCTGCTTTTGACAATTAGATCTGTCGCAAACCAAATGGGAAAAGACCGAATAACGATCTGCTAGGCTTGTAAATAGCTGAAAGACCATGCGAAAAGATGTGCCAAACGGGGCCTGAAATGCTCCATGCTTTATTGAGTCGTGCCATGCATGGCACGATTGTGTAGGCCAGGGGTTTCAGGTCCGTGGGCATAGTCTTGTCGTGCCATCCATGGCTCGCGGTACGGCCCAACATGGCCCATATATATAATATATAATATGTAATATATTAATAATATAAACAATTGTATACATCAAAATTCATATAAAATAAAAATTTTAAGATTTTTTTTCAATTTTTTAAATAAACCTTTCACAGTCCAAAGGTCCGGCTTAGCCCAAGGCTCGGGCTGTGAGGGAGGCACGGCCCGGAATGGCCCGCAGGCTAACACAACACAACTTGCACTTTACGCAGGCCACAAGTGGGTCATGCCATGCTGGCCCTCCAAAATATCCCAGGGGAGGGAGGTATGGCCTAGAACAACCCGTGGGCTGGCACAGCACAGCCCGCACTTTGTGTGTGCCACAAGTGGGTCATGCCATGTCAACCCAGCACGGCCCATTTTACAACTCTGGAGCCATGATATTGAAACACCCCCCCCCCCCAAATGAAGGATTGGTACAATATCAAATCCGCTATATATCTAAAATGTTGTGCCGGCTAGACCTGTTCATGGGCCGAGCCGGGCTTTCACTTGTCACTAATGAAAATATACTAGGCCCAAGCCCGAGCCCAGCCCGACCAACGGGCCTATAACTTGGGCCCAAGCCCGGCCCTGGTAAAAAGCCCAAAACCCGAGCCCGAGCCCGAAGCCCGACCTAATTGAAAAAAAAAAACAATTTTCCCTATTCAAATTAGAATTAAAAATTCAGATAGTATTTTTTTTTCTATTTAAATGAACAATGGGCCTACAAGATGGTATTTTTCCCTTTCTTTTATATTTTAAAACACAATTTTACATTCTTAAATCAAAAAATTTATTCAAATGGACATAATCACATAACTAATTTGAAGTTTAATATTAGGTCGGGTCGGGCTATTTTGACAAAACCCGAGCCCGACTCGAATTTATTGCGGGCCGGGCTTTTTGGCCCGAATTTAAGCCCGCGGGCCTATAAACATGTTCAAGCCTGTCCGGGGGTCGGGCCACCCGGCCCATGAACAGGTCTAGTGCCGGCCCAACACCACCCACAGCTCTAGAGTCGCGATATTGAAAACACCCACTAAATGAAGGATTGGTCTTACAATATCAAATCCAAATGGCTATATATCTAAAATTGTTTTTAATATCTGAATTGAAATATTATTCATTGGATTTAGATCAAAACCTTGAATCTAAATCCAATTGTATATCAATATATCATATTAAATCTAGATGCTACTAGATTTCGAAGTATATTCAGATTTAACCTAAGCCCACTTCATTATTTTTTTAAAATAAATACAACTAAAAATTATTGAAAAATTACTTTTTTCATTTATGTGTATGTAATAAATTTATGTGAATATAAAATACTGAATTTTTTTGCCTTTCAAAAAAATAAAATACTGAATTTATTAATTATAAATTTATCTATGTATCTATCTATCTATAGACTTGGATTTTAATCCCAGAAGAGGTCAAATCCACATACAATCTGATTCTTTAGGGGGTGTTCTGCAATATGAATTGTTTTTCTTGTTGTCAGTTCCAAAAACAAATCAAAACCATCTTATCTGAAAACAGATTGTTTATTAAAACAAAAACATAAAAAACATGTTCTCTGTTGTTTGCATGCTCTGCTTTCCAAACTGAAACAAAAAACATGTTCTTGAATGTGGTTTCAAAAACATATTTTCATCTGATTATTTAACATCATGTTCCATAAATCATATAATTTCTATACTAGAAATTTTCTTTTTGTTTTAAAAACCAAAATTTTGTTGATTCACAAACAAAACCAAATTATTATTTTTCTTTGAAAACAAAAATAAAGTTCAAGAACATATTTTTGTTTTTTACTGATGTGGTGATTTCAAGAACAAAAATATTCATGTTTAGAATGCCCTCTTAATGAATGCAAGTTTTGAAAATCCGAATATGATCGAATCATATAAATAAACTACATGGATTCAAGTCAAAATAATCAAATTGGATATCATATGGAATGTTTGATTTTTTTAAGGCAACTCATATCTAACGTTGAACTTCGAATTTTGTTGGCAACTCTAATTACAACAAATACGTTGTTCTAAATAAGG